GCTGAGAAAAGCGATGTATTTTTTATTATTCCTTTTTTATTGATCTAACCGGATTGATCAATTTTGTTTCAGGTAAAAAAAATCACGGAAAAGCATTTAACTAGAAAGTTCACGCCTTCTTTCTTTAAAATGTTAAAAATATATTTAAAAGTTCAAGCAGACTAAAATATGATAAAAAAACTTTTGGTTTAATTTTTCTTTAAGATAATCATAATAGTATGTTGATTGTTTTAAGTCCCAGTTTTTAATTGTAAAAACAAAAAACAAAAACACGCACAGAAATGGAAAAGCTAATCTCCTAGGTTTTGTCCGAGAGATAAACTTATAAACAAGTTGGATTATGTCTGATAAAGGTAAAGTAAAACATAGTAAAAAAACAATAATATTTTTTTTTACTTTTATTTATTTGAATTTTATGATAAATTTTGCAATACAATGCTCTTATATACGAAGATGTAGTTGGCTTAGCATAGGAACAGGTACAAATAGTCAAAAAGACTAATCCAAAGTCTTTTACTAATCAACATTTTATTAATTCAGTGATTAAGTAGTACTTTGGTTATTTACCGGAGCACTGGGTGGATTTGAACTGGTATTGCACAACAGTCCGGGTTTTAACATTTCGTTTGACACTATAATAGTAAAAGTCGAGGAATTAGTTGGTATCCAAATCAGATACTCAAATAACATTCCAAAAGTTGTTTTTAGAAATTCTGATGAAGAAGAAGTTGAATCTGAAGATGATGAAGAAGTTGTATCTATTAAAGTTTTAAAAAAGATCTTCATTCAAATACTAGATGTGTCGATTTTTTTTTTTCAATTTCAAAAAAATACAGGGTTACTTTTGGTGAAGAATTTTATGGGGTAAATATTTTAATTTAAAATTTTTTAAAAATAATTTAATTAATAATTAAAGAGAAAAAATCATAACTTAAAAAATATATGTTTTTTTTAATATTTGATAAACTCAATATAAACTATGTTGAACTTTATGAAAATGTCATAGTTTGTTAAAAAGTCAAACAAATAAAAACATAATAGGGGCTTTGTAATGTATATGTTATAATGTGGAGATTGTTTTTAGAAAAATTAGTCAATTTTTTCATATTTTAGACAGTAAATGTTATCGTAAGGTGCGCTGTCTTTTCTAAAACTAATAATAAGTCAAACAATTTTATAACAAACAGTATATTATATACTAATACATTTTATAATATATATTATATAATACTGATAACCTTATTAAAATTTACATATAATAAACAATTAATAGTTTATAAATTGTATTTAAAATTTGTGAGAGCTCATAAAACCCTGAATGACTTCTTGTGCTTTTATATACCCTTCTCGCTTTTCATGAGAATATGTTTTTGCACAAACCTCTGTAACCTATATTAAACATTAAAAAGAGTTTACTCATTAAAAAAATTAAATTAGTTATTATATTCTTATAATTGTACAAAAAAACCCAACGTAAAAAACCCAAAACAAAAAAATACAACGTTTGATAGATTGAGAATGGCCAATCCGGAACAACCATAGGCTTGTGAAAATATTTTCTAACTTCATAGGTTGTTAGGCTTGTTATAAATAGTGATTCGTATATTGAATCTTTCCACTCAGATCAGACTTTCCAATTACATTAATCAGTTTATGATTATGAGATAGACCTCAACATATTTTATTCCAATTGAAACAACAAAAATATATATAAAAAAAGAGGTTGTTGCAATAGTAATGAAAACTGTAAAAGATCTGCATGGCTTGTGTTCAGTGAACGCATTATTATATATATAAAGACTCTTTTGTGTTGCAAAAATGAAGAGAAACGAAAGTTAGGAGTGCAAAAGGTGATGATAAAAGTTAGGAGTGCAAAAGGTGATGATAAAAGTTAGGAGTGCAAAAGGAGATGATAATACTCAGTTCCGAGATAATTCAGTAAGAACTCGCAAAACCCCATGTATAAATACTAATGCTGATAAATTGATTAATCTAATTGAGTGGAAAGATTCAATATACGAATCACTATTTATAAGAAGTTAGAAAATATTTTCACAAGCCTATGGTTGTTCCAGATTGGCCATTCTCAATCTATCAAACGTTGTATTAAGCAGGGTTTTTTTGTGCAATTATAAGAATATAATAACTAGTTTAATTTTTTTAATGAGTAAACTCTTTTTAATGTTTAATATAGGTTACAGAGACTTGTGCAAAAACATATTATCATAAAAAGCGAGAAAGATATATAAAAGCACAAGAAATCAATAAGGGTTTTATGAGCTCTCACAAATTTTAAATATAATTTATAAACTATTAATTGTTAATTATATGTAAACTTTAATAAGGTTATTAGTATTATATAATATATATTACAAAATGTATTAGTATATTATACACTGTTTGTTATAAATTGTTCGATTTATTATTAGTTTTAGAAAATATAAAAAACCCTACGATAGATTTAGAAAAGATAAAAAACCCTACGATAACATTTATTGTCTAAAATATGAAAAAATTGACTAATTTTTCTAAAAATAATGTTTTTATTTGTTTGACTTTTTAACTAACTATAAAATTTTCAATAAGTTCAACATAGTTAATTTTTTTTTTAATTTATCATTTTTTCTCTTAATTATTCATATTTTAATAATTCTCTCGTTGAAAGCTCAGCGTTTCTCTCAACGAAACATATTTTTTTTTTTAAAGTTTGATAAAAACAGGAAAAAAACAACACTTTATCGTACCGTTTTCTTTGTCTAAAATATGAAAAAATTGTCTTATTATTGTAAAAATACCCTTCAAAAAAAGTACTTTTCTGTGTTTATTTTTATGACTTTTTAAACCAAATAATCAATTTTCCAAAAATTCAACATAACAATTAATGAGTTAATCAAAAATTTTAGAAAAATTTTTTTTTTTTTAATTATAGTTTCGCCCTGTTAATTATAACAAATATAAAAGTAAGGGGAGTCATGTTTTAGTCATTTTTCTGTTCAAAACAACGCTGTCCCACCCAGCAAGACTTTATTAAATTATTTTTTTTGCAAATTCGGAATCCCCATGAAATTCTTTACCAAAAGTAACCATGCTGTTTTTGAAATTAAAAAAAAAAAAAAATCGACACACCCTATTCACATATCAGGTTTATATTGTTGAATTGCTATTTTACGATTAATATTTCATAATTTTAATAATCACTCATAAATAAGTTTACAAGGTAAAGATACAAACTAACAAATATAGTTAGAAATCGAGCAAGAATAAAGAAACATAGATCATCCAGGTTATATTCTAAAAATCTGGAAAATTGTTTGAGTAAAATATACCGAAAAATACGAAATATATTTTCTCTCATATTCCTCTTAATTTTGCTTTTAGCTAAGTTAATACCAAGTTCATTTACAAGTCTCGCGAGTCAAAATATATAGTGAAATTTAAATAGTACAGGCCGGACTTCAAGAAGATCGTAATGATCTTATCACGAAGCCCTTACAATGTGTTTGATATATATTATGATTATGTTAAATATAATTATATATTAAGTACAACTATATTATTATATTCTTTAAATTAAGCTCATAGTAAAAAATAAACTCAAAATAAGCTCAGTATAAAATATTAGACATAACAAGCAGCATAATAACTAAAATTGATAAGAAAAAATCAAGCGTTTTTTTTGTGTGTAATAAACAATTTTTGATATATTGTTTGAGAAAGGTAAGAGTCATTTAGACAATACACATAAACGAGTCAGTTCACTTTGTAGTTGATATATATGTATTTTAATTTATAGTCTTAGAATAATTCCGAGTATCTGTTTAGATTCAGTATCAGATTTTTAAACTTTTTTTTCAAGGAATTTTGATTATCTAGATTGCAAATTGATTTATTTTTAGCTACTAGTTTGTTGTATAAATAAGGACCCCGATATGAAATTGAGAACTGGGAAAGTTGTTTTTTTGAAAGGTGTAATAAAGTTTCCTTTTTCTCTAGTGTTATATTTATTAACGTTATTTATAAAATGATTTGGTACTTGATCTAATTTAAATTTAACATAAACAGCATAAACAATATATTACAAAAATACTTGTCTAAACTAGTATGGGACGACTAAATAAGCGCGAATTTCGTGTGAAAAAAAAGTGCGAAGCGTTGCAAAAACTGGCACAAATGCGAACTGGCATAAGTGCGCCGAACAAATTTGCAAACATTGGCATAAGTGCGAATCAGTTACAAAAACTGGCACAAATGTAAACTAGCATATTATTATGCCGCCTAATGGACTAGTATGTATGGAAATTATTTTAGATATCTGGAAAAATCATTAAGTTGAGAAAAATATCCGGAATTTCGGAAAAAGATAATCCCTGAAAAGAATAAGAAAGGATTAATTAGAAATTTTTTTTTCGAAAGTATTTTTATAAAAATGTTCTGTTGCTTTGCATTCCAACATTGAACAGATGGTACAAAAATTTGAAGAGAATCAGGAATTACATTTTTTGAATACTAAAGAAGCGAACTTAAAAAGCAAACAAATAAATTTACGCAAGTTGATATTTTCTAAACTTTAAATTAGTGAAAAGAATTTTAAACTTACTAAATGAGGATCTTTTTAATGATAATGCTAACCAGGTAGTAACCAACAGACGTGTACCCGTCGACAGCCTTATTCGTTGATAACCTGCTTTGAAGGTTCCGTATTTAAAAATCAAGGCGAGAGAAATAATAAAGCTGCTTCGGGGTAATCAAGTTAGGTTTCCAGGTAATCAAGTTTCAGGGTAATCCAGTCAATTAAAAAGTATTAACGCGATTTTTTTTAAGTTAACAGTGGAATTTGATTAAATGAGTAAGGATTTCTGCATAAGTAAAAAAAATAATCTTTTAAAGCTAAAATTACTGCAAAATTGAGAATTGACTAAAATTTAATATCATATTTCTCAGCTTATTTTCACGGCACCCTCAAAACACTCAAGGGACAAATACAATGTAAAACAACATAGTTAATACGCCTAATTTGTTTCTTTAGTTAGCGTATAAGAAATACCTATAAAATTAGGCTGTCATAATAAAATGACAGGCAGGCTAAAAAAACTTCAGTTGAATTCACTAGTCTTGACCGACAAAATCGTATGGAAAGTAAATAATATAAATTAACTTAATAAAACAGCTATGAATAAATCATGAAATAAACAAAAACATAACGGTTTACTTAACAAGGACTACTGTTTATTAAAAACTCATTCTCAACGCGTTAAACCATATTCTATTTTTGAAATATGGAAACATTTAACACACAAGAAACATTTTAAACAAATCGCAAGAACAAATATTAAAAACAAAAACACACGTCCGATTTACACATAGCATACATTGACGGACACTGTCAAATAACGTAACATGAATTACAAAATTTAAATCAATAAAATATTTGACTGCCAAACGATACTTAAACAAAATACCATCGAAAATACTCCAAAATTTTTAAGAACAATTAAAAGTAACTCTGAATTTAAAGGATTGAATAAACGAATAAAAATATATATATAAGAAAAAAAGATTTGCGTCAATCATAACTCTAATAAAGAAAACAAACAATAAACACCACGAAATAGAATTCTTTATTGAAATTCTCTTTTAAGCAAATCATTCCAAACAGAAATTTCAAATCTCTTTAACTTACTGCGGAAAAATTCCAAAATAAACTAAACTGTAAACTCCAACTGAAGTAGCCTGTCTGTCTTTGGAGTATATCTTTTTTACAAAATAAATATCTCTCGTGTATGAAATAAAATTTCATGTAGAAAATTTCGTATATATAAAAACATCGTAGCGGAAAGAGATTTGCTTCGACAATTATAGTAAATTAAAAATGTTTTTTAAAAAAGTGAAAACCGTTGATTATAAGATATGAATTCAAACATTTCAAGAAAAGACTAAAAAAAGTTACTTTTTTAAAGCTATTGTTAAAATAAAAATTAATTAAAAAATGCCATCTTCTACTAACCTCTTCAATAAATATGTCTTGTATTTACAAATGTTCGTTGTCCAATAAAAATATATTATTTATAAATAGTATCCAACAGGTTTGACAAAATATTTGACAAAACAATGGAAGCCTTATAGTTCACACGACAAAATTTCAAAAGACAACGGACAAATCACTAAGCACACATAATAATACAATGAGCTTAAGACAAACGGACACTTGAGAATGAAGAACGGCAACAAAACAACAAGGAAACTGAATAGAAATGTTTCTTCAAGAAGCTTACTCTCAAAAAAAAAAAAACACAAAATTTTAAGCTAAATTGTTTATTACATCGCACATACACCAAAAGACAGACAGGTTCACTCACAGATGGAATTGAACGAAACATGTAAAATAACATTTAGATATTAAGCAACCATGTTTTAAATTACAAACCCGTTCATATGCTATTTAACAGTATAAAATTAGAGAAATTTGGAATTATCTAAATTTCACTTGAAAAGTAACAGCCAGCGTCACTTGGACAAAAGCCTCAGTCTAAAATAGATAAAATAAATGTATTGCGTAAAGCAGATTAAAAAATAATAATATAAAATAGAAAGGAAAAAAAAACTAATCTAAATTACTTATTTTATCCAAAAGATAATTATGAAGCATATGGTTTTTTGTCTTTAGGTCTTTTCAATTGAACTTTTAATCGTTTTGAACCAATACTGAAGCCATGCATGGCATTTATGGCATTGGTAGCACTAAGCGAATTATCGTAGCTAACAAATCCTATCCATAAAGAGTTAAAACTTACAAATCATCAAAATAATCTGAAAAAATCGTCAAATAATTATCTAAGTTTATATTTTTCATGTAAAGTGCAAAAATTTAGATTTTCGAATAACACTAAACCACATTCTTTACAATTAGATACTTAAACTTCCTAATATAAATTTGATTTATAATTTATTTTAAAAATATTAATATTAATAAATAAATATAAAACTGTTCCCTCCACTATTTCCCTAACATAAAATAACATAAAATGCGCCTAAATATGTTATTTCAAGAAGCTGGTATTGCATTTGAAAGAAATTAAAAAGATAAATTAGTAACTTTTTGAAGCATTCCGATGCTTTTAAAAATTAAGCAATAAAAAAATTGATAAAAATAATTAAAAAATAAAACTTACCAAAACATTTACTAAGTAACGTTGGTTTATCTATAAACACTTTCGCACTAACAACGTTACCGAATGGCATAAACGTCTGCATTAGGTCAGCATCTGTAAATTCTTGTGGAAGATGATAAATAAATAAATTTGCACCATCAGGACCTAAAAAATGGAATGCTTGAAAAAAAAACAAAAAGAAAACAATCAGTTTTTTAAATGGTAAAAAATAACTATTATATCAAGGCTGATATTTCAAAGTTAATATTAATTTATTAAAAATAAATAATATCTAATCAAGTTATCTTATATCTAAAAGAGCGAAACATGATCATTTATCCTAATAAAACTATTTTTATGTTTAACTCTTTTAAGTAATAATTTTCAATGTCTCGAAAATTTTTATTTAAAACAATTAAAATAAAGATCAAGAATTTAAATTTCTTTTAATAAAAAAGCATTTTTTTGTCTTATAAAAATATGAAGACTACTAATACAGTTTAGTGATTTGAAATTTTTATTCGAAAACTTTTTAAACAATTAAAACAAACTTGTTAAAACAATATAATGTCCCTGTGTAAGATTGATTTTTAAACATTGAATCGCCAAAATAGCAAAATGGTATATACTTATACTTGTATACATTTTCTTACCAAAGATGGCAGCTAGGTGAACATCATGTTTGAATAACGGCTAATTGTCTATATTTCCGTATAAGAAACATTTTAATGCTAAAGCGATGAGTAGCTCATTAAAAACAAAGAACTTACAAAACCAGAATAGTTGAAAATTTCACACATATCAACTGATTTATTTAGGGATGAGTGGTGTGAAGTATGAGAATATACATTAAAAAATTCATCTCCCGATGGCCCGCTATAGCAGAGGTTTACCAACTAGTCATAGTAAACTTATTTGAATTAAAAGCTTCTGCACAATGAAACTTGTTTATATATATATATATATATATATATATATATATATAATATATATATATATATATATATATATATATATATATATATATATATATATATATATATATATATATATATATATATATATGTATATGTATATGTATATGTATATGTATATATATATATATATATATATATATATATATATATATATATATATATACATATATATATATATATATATATATATATATATATATATATATATATATATATATATATATATACATATACATATATATAATTAAAATCAAAAATTACTATGAAAACCGGTTTAGTTTTGTTCCTTTAAAAAAAAAAGAGAGAATTAACCAATCCAAAACAGAGTTTCCAGCCTTTCAGTCAATTAGAAGAGACTACTTATATGAAAAATCAACAGCAGGGCCTACAATCTACAAATTTTTAAATGTAACTTTCACTTCTGAATTGCAAACATAAAAACTTGCTGAATTTCATAACTGATTGTATAACTAAGAGAAGGTTTTGATGTTTTATATTTACATTGAAGTTCCTTTTAACACAAACACAACAATGTTTGTGTTGACAGAAACAAATAAAGCCTTTAGACAAAATGTAAAGGAACTTAATATTATTAAATCTTCAGTTTGATTAGATAGCACAAAGCACTGTGCCCAGAATTTAAAGCAGATGTTCCATTGGTTCTTTGTTGAGATGGCAAGCTAATGCAAGATTTGACAACTAAAAATCACATTGACCTACTCCATATATCATACATAGATGAGAACTTGACTTTATGAAAATCCCAGAAAATTATTTAATTAAAAATTGATCGTATTAACAGACAACAAAAACTTTTGTAAACTTTTAAAACTGAATTTCGATTATTTAATTTTTTACAAAAAGGAATTTCTAATATTCGAAAAAGTTAATTTGAATGAATTAAAAAGCAAAAAAAAAAAAAGAAAATACGAAAATCGATCTTGTGAAAATTTTAATTAAAGAAAACATATTTTTTTTAATTCAAAAGTTGTCATTTTTAAAATTTTATGTAAAAATATATAAACTTTTTTTCAAATTAATAACAAAAAACATCTGGAAAATTTAAGGAATTTTTAAGTGAATTTCTGGAATTCCCGGAAAAAACTCATCTATGATCATAGTCTCTGGTTTGGGTGTAAAACATTTGCCTTAGAAAAATAATGCTTGGCAGAAAAAAGCTTGTTGATTTGTCATTTGACACAACTGGACAGAAAAAAAAGGCATGTATAACCTCATTGAAGCAAAACTTAAAAAGTGCCTAGTCTATTTTGCATGTCAGCATCACATCTTGGAGGTGGTACTGCTATTCATTTAAATTGAACAAATTACACTTTAAATCAGTTTATATGTACTTGATTTTTAGACATTTTCGTAGATTTCTTTATAAAAAAAAGCATTTAAAAATGAAAAGACCATGTTGCTGACTTAGCAAAAAATATCTTCTGTTTAGCAGAATTAACTTTGGAATTTTTTTTTTAACAACTTCAGTAAATATTCAAGATGCAGCAACAAACGCTTATATTCAGCCAATAGTTAATTGGAAATTCCAGGATGTTTCCAAGAATTATTAAGGAAAGTTTTTGGTTTTTCAAGGATATATTGATCTTTTCTCGACCAGAAAAAATGTTGGTTTAAAAAAAAATATGAACATGAAAAATAACTATATAATTAGATGTTAGTAACACTGACAGTAACATTAAACAAAATTTTTTTTTTGCATTTTAGAAAATACATAATTATCAAATTCAGTATAAATCTACGCAAAACTAATAACTCTGTAAAAGACAAAAACACGATAAAGAAATATTGAACTATTTTAGAAAAAAGTTCCAGGATTTCCAGGAATTATTAGGTCTACCGGAAAGTTCTGTCCATTTTCGGAACAATATGAAAACAATATAATGAAGACAAACATAAAATAAATTTTGTTTGAGTTAATTTGCTTTGCCTGTATAAACATTTTAAATGATGACAAAACAAATGATAAAAAATGAGCTGAACATGCACTAAATAAAAATGTACTGAATAAATTAATTTTATAGAAATGGACAGAACTTTCCGGTAGACCAGTAGAATAATACTAAAAGAGGTGTTTTTTCAGGACCTATTAAATTCCAGGACTTTTCCAGGTTTTCAATGAAATCTGACCACCTGATATTAGATATTTTAAAACACAACAATATATATATATTTTTTGACCTCAAAAAAATTAAAAGTTATATATAAAAACATTTAAAGAAATAGTTTAATGTTATACAAAAGGGTTATAAAATTATTCAGCATTTTTTAACAGGGTAAATTTGCTAAAAACATTTTGAGCAAATCCACTCTTTTAAAAAACACTTATTCAACTATTGAAGCAAGTTTTTTATAAAGGAATAGTTACAAAATAAATCCTTAATAAATATATTTAAATATTTGCCACATTTAATTAAAAACATTTATTACAAAACTGTCACAAGAATGAAATGATTCAATGAAAAAAAAATTGTAACAGATAAACTGTTTACTCACAGCTTAACAAAATACTAGATCAATTTTTTATGCAATATAAATTAGGCCTTATCATTAGAAAAAAAGTCAGGATAAAATAATGAATTTTGTCTAAAAAAGATCTATTATATAATGAAAACATTTTTTTAATTATAAATCTTAAACTTTTAATCAGCCAAAAAAACTCTACAAAATCAAAATAATAAAATGATTTTACAGAATTCTAACCTTCTTTTTGTGGTTGTTTTGCCTGCTGGTGTTGTATTACATTTTGGTATGCATTTGGAAAAGCAGCTAAATATAAAATTGTATCAAAATAAAATTTAAAAAGTATTTTTTTAGTACAAGAAAAATAATTTTTTAAATATAACTCTTACTTTGAGCATCACACCTGTAAACAAACTTTACTAAACTAAATACACACAACAAAATGATATCAACTACATAGTACAAAAACGTTACTGTTTATCACATGATTTGAGTTACTTGCAAAACGCTAAAAAACAAGTCATTATGTAACACACAAAACAAAAAACAAAAATGCAACAATAAAAAATTGCGCCTAGCAAAACTGATGTTTATAAAAGAACAAAATAGATAAAAAGCATTTGAAACAATATGTGAATAGAAATAAACGTAACTCAACAGCTTAAGAGCCACAATCAAAGATTTTTTCTTATTCACCTTTTTTATCAATAAAACTTTTAAAAAAATGTAAAGGAACCTAAGAGGCATTGGACCTGTGTTGTTTTAATGTTATTTTTTTTGAACTTATAAATTTTAAACTCATGCTTGAAACAAAATCATTTAAATTTAAACTGCTAAGCAGACAATTTCTTATTATTATATTAACAAATAAAATAACATAAACAACAACAACACCAGCACGACTAATCAAATGTATATTAAAACATAAACATGCTTTTAGAAATCATGATATTTTTACGCGAAGAAATTTTAACATATAATTTTAAATATTTTTTTGAGATTTTGAAAAACTAGAATATCACGAAAGATTAGTTTACCTGAACTTCTTGAAATTTTACAAATATGAATGTTAATTCTTAAAATTACAATTACACAAACTATTACACAAATTCTCAGACTTAAATTACATTTACACATACTACATAAATGTATGCTTATTAAGAATCCAAGAAAAAACTACCAATATTATTTTGGAAAATTTGAATCACTTAAAATTGACAACTTTTGACCTTATTATCTGATTTTCTTCAAGCTATAAAATACCAAGAAGTTGCAGACAAACGATCCATTTATTGTATTTTTAAATACATTTGATAAGGCTGTTCTGGCGTTGTCGTAGACAACAACAGCCTTACCCACGTAATTCTGGAGACCAGAGTAAGCTTGTTGCATAGTATCAGAGCTTACTGAAGCAGGCACTGTGTTAGAGGGATAGGCCTGCCCAGATGAAGTATAACCACTGGAAGAATAAGACTGTCCAGTAGAAGAGTAAGATTGCCCACCTGCAAGACTGGACATGTTAGTCAATCCTCCACCAAGTTGAGCTATGCCTATAAAAAATAAAAATAAAATTAAAAAATGTAATAACTTTTTTTACTAAACCTTTTAGTAAACAATATCAAAAAAATTATTTTACTAAAACAGTTACACACTTTTAACGAATTTTTTTTAAAACAAAAAAAATCAAATGTAAACATATTTTTTTTGTTGATTTTCAAATAAACTATTTAGTTTAAAATGAAAAGTTGGTAAACCAAGTTCCTATTTTATTCACTTTATTGATGTCGGTTGAACACAATAAAATTCAACATCTTTAACAGATTATTAATTTTTAGTAATCAAATTATTTATTTCAACAATTTTTTCCATTTTTCATTAACGATTGACATTGAATCATTTTCTAAAGTTTATTTAAAATATGAACACATGTCATTTAATACAATTAGTGTCAAAAGACACTAATTGTACAACAGATAAAAGCAAATAGAAAAGCTGGATACTAATCAGAAATCAAAGAAACATGCCGAGAAAATGTTTGGTTTTTGGGAAAAAATTTTCAAAAAAATATTATTGTGGATTAATTTCTAACTATAGTATGTTTTTCTGTTATTAATTTCTAACCATAGTATGTACTTCCAAAGCTGTAGCAATCAATACATCAATCTGTATCGATGAATGTTTAGAAACACAACTTTTTCTGTTCATTTACAAATACCATGTCAACTTTTGCTATTTGTTTTGGCAAGTTCTTATTACACTAAAAATTCACTAAATTCTATAAACAAACATGTCAATTATGTTTATAAGGAATTAAACCCACCAAATGTGTCTCAAACACAATAAACTAAGAGTTTTTAAGGGCATTTGGCCCAAAAGGTTTACGGGGGAAAATGACTAGTTTTATCAGTAAAAGCATCAAATATAAACTAAAAGAAATAGATTTAAATTTTTTACAGTTGACTTTGGAAGATGTCAAAGCAACATTGAGATTTATTGCAGATGATGGAGATTTTTAATATAAAAAAAATTAATTTTTATTCACAAATAAATACTTTGATTTAGAAAAAAATCCAAGTAGCTAAATTATTATTTGTTAATAAGATATTAAAGTTTTTATTTTGTACTATAACTTATGCTTAACCTGTTATAATTAGGAAATATTAGTTAAACAAATTATTTTTACTATACCTGTTAAATTTGAAGGAAGACTAGCCATGCCTAAACCACCATTAATGCTTGATGCAACTGAATGTGCAGCAGAAAAGCTATTTGAAGATAATTGTTGTGCAGATCCAGGTGTACTAAACAATGAAGAATTATACTGCATTTGCTGTGGTGTTTGTTGAAGTGAAGCTGAGTTTTGTGTTTGGTTTGTAGCCATAGCAGCAACAATAGCCCCCATGGCACCAGGTACTGCACTTAGTCCAGGAGCATTCATTAACTGTGCCATATTCTGTGTGCTGCCCGGAAGCGCTAACTGGGCAAGTAACTTTAAATATAAACAATAACTGAAACTCAGCATTACCATATAAAAAACAAATATAACTCCTGTTTGATAATAATAATAAAAATACTAATAACTATAATGATAATAATTTTAGTAGTAAAACAAGAATTGTTAAAAATAAAATTTTAATCAATAATTAAAACTTTAAAATCTTCAAGTCATGATAATAATTTACTTTTCAGATACTCAGAATGTGAAAAGCTTCAAAAAAATTTCCTGATTTAATTCAAGCAAATCAAAAATTTACTTTTTAAAAACATTCTATTTTATTGTGTTAACCACCACTTTATTTTTATATTCTGCTAAATATATTTTCAAATATAGAATATTTTAATTTAGAGAAATATTCATCTACGTCTATGAGTTGTAAAATCATTCATATAATTTTAACTTACTTGCTGATAATAAGCATGTTGCAACGATGCAGTGTTATTTAGTAGACTACCATTACATTGACCCATTGTCATACCTAATCCAACAAGGTTTGTGGCCATAGATTGCATACGTTTTTGAATTTTTTCTCTTTCAGTGTCAGCAATTTTTACAACAACTGGAGACGAACAATTCTATCAAAAAAAAAATTTAAATATATGTCAAATTATGTTTAAAAAAAAGTTAATAATCATGATTTAAAAAACTAACCTCCATAGTTTGAGAGTTATGCATAGCTTTTATAGCGTTTTGCGCTTGCAATCGAGTGCTGTATTTTATAAAAGCACAACCTAAAACAAAAAAAAATATTAAAGTCATTATAAGTTAAATCTCATATAAAGTCATTATAAGTTAAATCTCATAAAAAATTATATAAATCTTAAAAAGTCCTTTTGCCTTCGAATTGAAAAAAAAAAGTTCTTTAGATGTTGAATTCACAAATTGTGTAAATTCAACATCAAAGATGGCTAGTGTATTTAAGGCACAGAGATGGGTCTAAATTACTAGATAAATTACACTAATGTTAAGCCCTGCATTATTTACCACAATAAACAAAATATTGTCTAAAATAACATTTAGACTGATATTAAAAAAAAAAATTAATCTGCCATAGATTACACTTTTTAACTTATGCAAATTTAACAAGTACAACTATAAAAAAAAAAAAGAACAACCAATTCTTGCCATTTTTTTTTAGCTTACATTTTTTTAGCCAGAAATAATTTAAACATGTATATTTTCAGCCTTTACAAACAAATAGATAACTTGAATGGTTAAAACTAAATAGTAAAAATGATAATGTTATTTGGCACTGTTCTCAAATTCTTTTTCTTAACTTGTGATTTCATGGTTTTTAGAGAAAATTTTTTAAATATTTGCTGACCCTCTAAATGTGTGTATATAAAATAAGTTGGTTTAAAAATTAGCTTGCAAAAATAATTTTTAGGGGCAACTGAGACTAAGACTGTAAAATCTAAATTATTGATAAGAATTTCAACTCAGGTTCTTAAATGCCAATATTAGATTTGTTTAATTTGATGTAACTTGCAATGAAAAGAAAAATATCATTACCAATACTTTGCTGTAATGTTTGTATTTTTACCTTAATTGATCTATTCAACACTAGCATGAAATGATAGTTGGCACTTTCTGATCAGGTAAATTATTCACTACTTTTTAATCTCTAACTTTTTACAATTTTAAAAGCAAAAACTAATGATTACTACTAAACTCAAAACAAAGAAAGTTATTAATAGAATATTATACATTTTAAAATCTTAATCATCTTGATTTTTTTATTGTTATTAAAGGTTATTACCTTTACTACCACCATCTGGATTTCTTAATATAGTTAATTCTTCTATTGTTCCATAGGGAGAAAACATTATACGCAAATCATCTTCATTTAATTTCTTAGAAAGCATTCCAATAAAAAGTTTACGATCTTCAGTTTTTATTTCTGACTCAGCTGGTTTTACTTGCATTTTGTTTACACTCTAAACAAAAACTATATAAATCAGTGACACATACAGGCTGGTTTTGAGACCAGCATTCCAGTTAGCGAGCTTAAACTATTCTGCCAAAACTCCAACTTAAAATATGATTACTTTATTAATATTATTTTAAAAGTATTACTTTTAATGAAGGGGGAGGGGATTTTTTATAGTTTTAATATTAAAGACTTTTTTTTTTGAAGCAAGTTAGTTAGCCAAACAGGCAACCAAATAAAACAAATGCAACAATCTATCATTCAATTAGTTATATCAAACTAAGTGGTTATCTTTGCTATTGAAAATCCCATCTTACCTCAAAAAGAAAATCATTAATTCTTAACACTGGTATCCCTAACTATTGGAAACACAGAAATAGACATGTTTTTGCTAAAATGTATTTTGTTTTGAGGAATTACAATCTACATATGAAGAAAATTGATTATGACAAAAAATGTTTTTTTTTCCCCTTCTTTTTTCTATTTTGTTTGGATTAATCAGCACCTTAAAAATAAAAGCTTTGTATACTTGTAGTACTGAGTTAAAAACATAAGATTGAGGTGTTACAAATAGAATAATAATGCCAGATGAAGATTGAGGTGTTATAGCATAAAAAAAGTAGACTCTTTGATTTTGATTACACACACACACACACACACACACACACACACACACACACACACACACACACACACACACACACACACACACACACACACACACACACACACACAATTTAACTTTGTGACCTCCCTATTAAAACAAGTAATATAGAGTAATAGAAAATTGTTTTTTAAATTGTCATATTTAAAGTAGGGTTGTTAACCGGAGGATTTCGTGCAATTCCAGAAAAACAACATTCTTTCGTAAGAATGTTGTTTTTCTTTAACATTTTTAAAAAAATGTGATTCTATTTAGTTAAAAATATTTTTTTGATGGTTATCATTAATGTATAGTGGCAACACAAATATGATGAACCAATTTATTTGGTAATTTTTGATCAAAACTTTAAAACTAATCCTACCCCAGGAAGAGTTCTTTTTTCGTGTAATTCATTTTGACATCTATTCGCAGCTTCCTTCTCATAGAAAACAAGAAAAGCACACCCTAGACAAATAAAAATTATCAATAAAACATTTTATATGCAATTAAAATATAGCCAATAAACTAAAGTTATAAAGAATATTATTAGAAAGCACAACTGTTATACTTCATTTTATAAACAGGGCCTATTCTAGGAAACATATTGGGCAGCGGTAATCCCTGTTTCGGCAGGCTTTAGCACAAAATAGGCATTTTTTTGCGATAATTCCCTTAAAAACATAAAAAAAAGTTTTTTAAATAAAAAAGGTCCTTAAATTTTAGTTGGCGTGGCGCCCAAATACGGTCGAGGCTGTCGAAAACGGTCTAGAATAGCCCCTGATAGATTATATATAAATTATACATATTTAACAAACACTTATGGGAAATTAAATATACCTATATAAAAATTTACCAATTCTGTGCATTTTGACCGATTTTTTTTGTTTTTATTTTTTGCTGAATTTATTCAAGATATAAGGATTTATTTTTTATTCTGCTTACAGTTTTTTTCTCACTTATAAGTTTAACTTAAATTTCTTCAACACTGATCTTGTTTAAAAATGCTTTATAATCAGGAGAAATTAGGCAACTTAAATTCTTCACAATATGTAAAGTTATAATGTAAATATAGAGGTTAATGGATTTTATCCTTTTAATTTAAAACTCATTTTATTTTTATGACATTTCAAATAACAGACTGCATGCTATCTAAAATATATAAAATTTCAATAACATAATATGAATGATAAAACTGTTACACATTAATTATTTGTGTATAAAAACTGTTACACATTAATTATTTGTGTATAAAAACTAATAACAGCAGATCGTCAGGACTTAACGACATTTCACAATTTTACATTCTTAAGAACATTTTATGTATAATGAATGGAACAATACTTAAAGCTGTTAGTCTGGCCCTGATAACATTGATAAATTTTCAAGACCAAGGCCAAGACCTAACAACTCTGATTACACCTTGTAATAAAACTTTCTTAAAACAGAGAAGACTGTTATATTCTTATGAACTATGTATTACAAACTAAATAATTGACGTCAATCACGTACTTACGTGATATATATCAATCACGTATTTACGTGATATATATCAATCACCTATTACGTGATTATATATATATATATATATATATATATATATATATATATATATATATATATATATATATATATATATATATATATATATATAATCATACAGTTAAATGAACATAAGTTACTCTAATTATACTTAATTGATGTGCTATAAAATCGGTTTTGTAGATCTTGAATTGTGTTTAACTTTTTTTGTATTGTATTTAATTTGATAAAAGAAAATTGTATTTAATTTGATAAAAGCCGAAAATATTTAATATAGACTTATTTATTACAGTTTTACAACACACAGTTTTCATATATATATATAAAGATTCAATAAATACATTTTGCTAATTTATTATATCAAATTATTTTAATAAAATAAACTTCAAAATTTGTCTCCATTTTACAGCATTGAAGAAAATAAATTATGGAGATTTTGAATAATAAATGTGGTTAAATTACATTGGTATAGAAATTTATTTATAAGAATCTTCTTAAATTATAGTTATAAAACTTTAATTAAAATAATTTTGTTAAAGTGATGTTATTAAAAAATATTTTTGTTATTATTTTTATTTATACAGTATGTTAGTCAAGACTAAAGTTTATACAGCATTTAATATGCCAAAAATTTATCTTACCATTATTTTCCTAATTCAGAAGGAAAAAATGATAATGTAAGATTTCAGTGTGGAAATGAGATTCCATTACAGCCTACTAAAGCTGGGCAGCATGGAGAATTTCTTTAAAGTTAATTTCCATTTTATATCTAAAAACTATCAATTATAAAAACTTTGTTTTCATACTTCTTTCTTAAAAATTTATGAATTAAGGTATGAATTGGGAACAATCAACTTAGAGTTTAATTAGGAGTTCATTAACAAAAATTACTTTCTTATTGTGGTGGACACTTGTAAAAATAGACTTTTTTTATATATATTATAGGTATTAGAGGTATTTCTCTACCTCTAATACCTATAATATATATAGCAGCCATATTAAAAACAACTGAATTAATGACAAAATATACTTTTTTTTATCATTATCTTTTTTGTGTGTGTGGGTGTGTATGTATTTAAGTGTTCCCAGAAGTCCTTATGGTCTTATCATAGAGCACCCCGGGAGAGCATTTAACAGGAAGTTCATGCCTCCTTTCTTACCAATGTCGCATATTGGGCAAAATAAAGAAATTGGTTAACTAAATTCTATTATTTTTTGCTTCAGCCATTCATACAAACTTGTTATACTTAAACTTAAAGTTACTCTTTCTGTTTTAAATACTAACTAAAATTATAAAGCCACTCACTAAACATTTTAGGCGGTATTGTGAAGCAATTCCACTTCCTCATCCCAAAGTAATTTAACATTTTTAGGTAATTTCTATATAGCTAATTGAATTTCTACAGTATCTCAATGATTTAATTATTTCATTTGTTTATTTTACTAAGAACAATTGTTTCAAATGTGTTAAACTTTTTAAACTACGCAAAACATAAAACAGTTATTGAAAAAAAAAATTTATTTGTAAATAAATCATCTAGCGTTAGTTTAATTAGTTGAATCTTGTTTCAGGGCTGGGTGCTGCATTATTTAGCTGGTCTTTTTTATGTGCCACAGCGTAAACATGATTAAAAAAAATACCGAATGGTCCTCTTGACTATTTCGCGCCCCCTAACATTGTGAGTCCAGAGGCTATAGCCCTTCTAATTCCCCCACCACCACCACCTCAAATTAGCACTGGAAATAAGACACAAGTATATAAACAAAAAATTATATATACTCTTTAATAAATTGAAAAACATTTGTTTTCTTAATTAACAATCATTAATAGTAAGTTGTTACTTTATATAATAAATGTTGTTAAATTTTATAAAAAAAAATTATAAAAAAGCAATGTTTCAAAAATATTTGCTCTAATCGTATTTATTTTGCCTAAAGTTTTTTTGTGTAAAAACTATTTTTCTTTTTTTAACTGTCTCTCATCGGTCCAGTTAATCATATTGCGCTTTTTTGTTTGTTTTTGAAATGTTCTTAAAACGACTAAAAAATCGGGCCGGTTTTTCGCAACTAAATATTATTTTCATGGTCAATTATCGAGTGCAATCACACCCACTTCCCGACCAAGCTTGTATATATGTATATGTATATATATATATATATATGTATATATATATATATATATATATATATATATATATATATATATATATATATATATATATGTATATATATATATATATATATATATATATATATATATATATATATATATATATATATATATATATATATATATATATATATATATATATATATATATATATATATATATATATATATATATGTATATATATATATATATATATACAGCTCTCGAAATAGTTTTTCAAAGCTTGCCGATCAAATGTAATTTTTTCACAAAAACAGGTTATTTTCCCTTAATTTTTTCGAAATTTCCCCAAAAATAACCAATCATTGATCGTTGATCGGCCGTTATTTCGAGCGCTGTATATATATATATATATATATATATATATATATATAGCATCCTAGTTGGCGACTTTTGGGGACATGTTATTTTTGTTCCCGTTCTGTTGGTTTTTTTTTAACTTTTTTTATACTATTTTTATCATATTTATATACTTCTTTTTAATTTTTATTTTATTTCAATTTTTATTTATACACAGGCCTTGTTAAGAAGCGATTCCCTATTTGAGTTTTACGTACGTATTCACGCTTTCACATACGCGTTTCGCAATTTAAGTTATGCAAAAACTTTTTTCAATAAGTTTATTTTAAATAGTCTTTTAAAACAGATTAGGCGGAAAACATTAAACTGAAGTTAATTGTTGTAAAAAAAAGTTTGTGAAATATTTTTTTTTTATAGATAAAAAAGCAGATAGATATCCTTTTTTCTATTTTCCGTTTTTAAAAAATATATATTTATCATTTATTTAATTAAATTTGAATTAATTTTATTATTATTCATAGTTTTAGTAATTTATTTGATTAAATTTAATTAAAATTCTTTTAAAAATTTAAAAACGCTTCGTTTTACAATTTTTTATACTTATTAAATTTCCAAAATTTATGTTAAAGTAAAAAAAAAAATTTAACAAATTTAATTCAAGTAACTTTAAAATGTTCGCATTACATATAACTTTATTTTAATTTCAGTTAAGTTTCAGGTAGTTCCAGTTCCACATTACTGGCCTAAATAATGCGCTTTTGTTGTTAATAAATGACATCATACAAAAAGTCCTTTCAAACTCAAGTTTAAATGTTGTTTGGGTTTTCCCTTTGCTGTTGAGTTTTATGCAGTAGAATTTTTATTATAAAACGAACCAAACTTTAAAAGGAATAAAAATAATGCAATCAATAAATAAACTCTTTAAAAGCCCAACTTATATTTATTTTGTTTTAAAAACAAAACTAATACTAGTGCTATAGATATGATACATAAATTTTAAAATTCTACTGATATTTGTTAAAAAATAGTTATGCTGATAGCATCTTATAATCGATAATACTATTTTTCTTTTTGGATTTAGTAACAAATAGTAAAAATACTTTAGGTTTCTAGGTACATAAAAATATTTTAATGAAAAAAAAAAAAAAAAAAAAAAAAAAAAAAAAAAAAAAAAAAAAAAAAAAAAAGCCGAAAAGTGGTAATCTTTGTTTAATTACAATTTTTAATTTAATTAAAAGCCAGTTAACGCAAAGGTTTTTTAAAAAGGGGAAAACCCAAGCTAACTGAGTAGAAGTACACTCAAATCCCTTTAAGAAAATCAACCATAAACAAGTGTCCACTCATTTTAAAAAAATAACCGTAAAAAGAATGTTTTAAAGAAAAAAAATTAAAGTTTAAAATTTAAACCGTAAATAAGTATAAGATTTTAAAACAAGGAAATTATTTTTTAATCAAC